GGGGAAGCGTCCTTTTCTTCTGCTTTTATCCCAAACCTTTTTGCTGTCCTTACATGGTTGATCCTCTTTTATTAGATTTCTATACAGCAATATTTAGGATCTTGCTTACTTGTATACTTTTTGTGTACAACAAGATCTTCAGATAAATTTTCTGCTATGTGTCTTGTGTAAATACATGAAAAGTATGCTTTTCCAGATGCTGAAACTCTAGCGTCAGATATAAATATATTCAGCCACTTCTTTACATTTATGTTTTGTCTTTTTGGACATTAGGTCAAACACTGATAGCAATGCTTCCTGCCCTTAAAGTAGTACTGACATTGAAAAGAACCAAATCGATAGGTCTTTTCACAGGGAAATGCCCATCTTTGCTAATCGAACTATATTTTTAAAGTCTCATATGCTCATTTAGGTGTGGTCATGGGAGATGTAGAGGGTTGTCTAGTGTGGCTGGCTGCTGGGATTCCTGCATGGCGATAGCTTCTCAGCATTTTTTGCTGGTGGCAGAGTGCTATAAAGCCAAGGGTATTGCTGCTATTATTCTTCAGGCATAAACCATATTCTTTTCAGAAGCAGAAATCACCATGCCCAGTGTGCTATTCTTCCTCCTTTCCCATTCAGAATGGCAGCAGGGATAGCAAGCTTATCTCTCTGCCTTTTTCTGCTCCCTTTTTTTATGGATGGAGCACTGAGGCCTGAAGACCCACATCTGTGCAGCAAAGTTCAATTTCACCTTGTAGTGTTGATAAATCTTGAGCCAGGCTGGGTTTTTGATCATATTTGAAAACATTACTCTATATGGTGTTTTTTCCCATGGGAAGGAAGGGCTCACAAAATGCTTACTGCCTTGAAAAGTGCAAACACTTTGGCACCTTGGAAAAGGGAAAGATAATAGGTTAATAGGCTCATTGATGAGAGAACTGAAATAAAATGCAAATGATAACTGTAGTCCTAAAGCCCTTAGTACATATACAACAGAAAAAGAACAATAGTTTCTCTTCATGATTGGTTTCTTATTCTAACATTTCACAGTTTAAAAGCACATCACTATTATGAAATACTACAAAATGTTAATTTCATACAGTTGGGGAAGGAAAATGTGAGGGCAGGTAACAAGATTTCACATTAAAATTTTAACTATCTTGACGAACTTGAAATAATAGTTTAAGGAACAGTGATGAAATGGGGAAGTAGTATAAATCCAAATGGGCAGAAAAGTATCTGCCTGTGGTCATCAAATATTTTAAATAACTGCAACAGCTAAAGATGTTTAGAAAATTCAGAATTTTAAAAATTCCAAAGTTAATACAACAGATGGAGAGGAATTCAGTTTTCAAAATATTGGTTTTTTCCCCAGTCATTTTTAGTCAGCTTTTTAAGTATTCCTCCAAATGACAAAAAAAAAAAAAAAAAAAGGAATTAAATTATGAATCACAGAAAAAAATCAGAAATTTAATAAAAGTATATCAAATCATGCTAGGAAGCGCACAGAGACTGTATTCTATAGTGACAGTTAAGTATCAAATAAAATATTGGACATCTTTTATCTAGCATTTATCCAAAAGGTGTATAATTTGATTTTTATACTTCTGCAGTAAAAATACACGAAGTCTTAAAAAAAAAAAACAACACTATAAAGCATAATCAGTTATTGTTGATGTTCTAGCAGCAAAGATACAAAAGAGGTTTCTATTTCAGTATTTCTTCCAACAAATATGTTTTGTTTGGTTTTGGGTTTTTTTAATAACGATATAGGTAAAAATGCAAAAAATATTGGTGGTATCACTTTCTTCCTCTTCGTGCTTTTTGAACCAATTTTGTGTAAGAACTGGAAGTCCATGGGGGAGCCCTCACATCCAAAAGCCTCAGTCTCCCAGTGAGAGATGTATTCTAAAACATCTTCAAGCCACAGTGTGTCAAAACAATTTTATGTAGCATGCAAAATGTCTTATTCCTGGCATAAGGGAGGCAAAACTTACTGTCTTCTTTGCATCAGTTACCTTATTTTGAAAGCATTGATGGGGAAAAATAAAGATCACTTTTTACCTGAAGTATAGATAGGAGCTCTGTCTTTGCACACTGCATTTTCTTGTTTTAGTCCGAATTGAAGTATTTCATGCAGTAACGGCAGTGAACATAAATGCAACCCTCAGTAATGAATGTTATGTTACACTGCTCTATAAACACCCCAAGAAACAGATTATCACTTAGGCGGTTGTAGTTTGCTTATGATGCTTTTGCTCTGACCTCAGGGGTAATGTTGATAGGGTACATGAATAACCATGCACCAGTTCTGCTCCTCCAAGCAATCAGGTGTTGCCTTGTGCCCCATGACTACTTATCATTTACATAACTTGAATCTGCATTTGCCATCAATGAGTTCTTCATTCAATAATGTTTTAAAAGCAAAGACCACTTCCAAAACCAAAGTATTTTTAATTGAATAAAATCTGCAAAGAATCCCAGTTTCCTGTGAGGAGGCACATTGTTGATGTCTTCCCAAGGCAGAATACATGTAATCTGAAATCAGGAATAGAATGGGAAAAAGCAGCCGAAACACCAATTTTGCTCATTAAGAAAAGTCTGTTTACATCAGAAGAAATTTCAGGATGTTGGCTCAGGTTAGTGGAAGAGGTTAAATACACTACAGGCTCCCTGTGTAGAGGGCTCAGTAGCACTCAGGTGGCTTCTTGCACAGGACAGCCTGGGCCCAGGAATTGTACAGCAATTCTCTCACAGGTATGTCACATGGGTATGCCAACTCAGAGGTGTCTGCACTTCCACAGCCAGTGCCTTTATTTTTCCTATTCTGTTCTCATTGCAATTACTTCAATCTCAGTTAACCAGTGTTGCATTGCTCCTGGTTTTGGTTTCTCTGGGTTTACCCTACCTTTTCTGCCCCACTGTGTCCAGTGGTGGGATGATCCTAACCCCATTAGGGTCTGCTCTCCAGCTGTTACATAAAGGGTTAACTTTTCCTCTGCTTTATTTTTTATTGTCTCACATGAAGCCTGTGATTGTTCACGTTTTGGTAATAACTGTGATCCCACCAGTGGCCGTTGTATCTGCCCTCCCAATACTGTTGGAGAGATGTGTGACAAATGTGCACCAAATCACTGGGGCCATAACATTGTCAGTGGCTGCAAGGTGAGTGAATCTATTTTGTCTCTGTGCGTTACCTCTTTTCCATGGCACAAAACCAGTAATTTATTGCTGGAACACAATTTTAAGTTTGTAAATCATGGTTCGCCTTTGCATTGCGACTTTTGGTGTCAGACTGTGGTGTAGATGTTGGCAATCTGTAACCGAGCACTACAGGTCCTCTGTCTCAGGTATGCAGCCTGCGACACCAAACACCCTGTTTATACTGCTGTCACACTGACTCAGTGGCCTACTTGAGCCTTTATTGTGATTGAGGAGATTACCACAGTATTGTACAATGTATATAGATGTGTAGTTACAGGTAATTGACAGTGCCTTTGCAGAACAAATTTACTTTGGCCCTAATTGTGATACCACTGGGAATTTGTACTTGAAGCTTACCTGAGAAGAGCTTCAACTTTTGTTTAAAACATATGGAAGAGAGAAGAAAAGAATCAGCCACCTTAGCTGTAAAATGCACTTTCTTCCTATGCTCTTAAGGGGAAATAAACCTTCTCATTAGCCTTCAAATACTCTGTGTTCCAATATTTGACACAGTTAAAAACTCTGAAGGGAAAAGGGGAGAAGAAATAGGGAAACAATGAGAGTATGTCAGAGTCCATGAAAGCTGTTGTTAATGTCCTACCCTTGAGTTAAGAAGAGCAGTATTCGGTTAAGGTTGACAAACTGGTGACAGTGAATATTGTGTGAAGTTCAAATGCTGCCTTCTCTCTGCTCTTCTTTTTGATGATGAGGGTCTTATTGTACTGATGCAATTACTCCAGAAAACTGTGTCTTGTCTGAACATGGTCATACACCATTAATGCTTTTTCTTAAAAGGCTGTTTGTCATGTAGCTCAGGCTGCAAACCAATTATTGAGAATGATTTCTTTTTTGTATGTATGGAAAACTCCCCTTGTGAAACCTCTGCTGTGCTGCTGTGATATAGACTCTTGGCTTCTGAAACCAGCCTAATGAGGTTGAAGACCTCTGTTTGAGCTCTGGAGTATATTCTCTGATTGTCTTTTATATGAGCGCATTAGTGTGACAGTTCCATGGCACCATCTAAATTAATAATGATCTATCGGCCCACATCTCTTTCAGTATCTTGCAGCTAATTTCTGTAAAGTGAGATGTGAATCTGCTGCTTGTGCTCTTTGTAGATTTCCAGGGATGTTGTAACTCAGGGGGATAGAAAGCATTGCACAAAACTGCTTGGTCACAAAACAAACATAACATCAGATTGTAATTTAGGTTTTGATATTGCACACCAAGCTATTTCAGTATGTAGCAAACAATTTGTCTTCTAAGCTTTATGTTCAAATGCATCTTCTAGAATAAGATTTTTTCTGACAGGCTTTATTTCTTAGGTTAGGTAGTAGTCTAGCAGTCAGACATTTAACCAGTAGTTAAATAGTTTCTGTGGCATTCAGTAAAGACTGAATTTGACTGTTTCCTGCACATAATCACCTTCTTTATAAATAGCTTTTTCAGATCAGAAGAAAGGTGTGGTAAATATTCATATAATAAACAGTTCTGCTTAGAAACTGAATCCACATTTTCCTCCTCTATTTCAGCTTTGTGTCCTTAATTTTAGCAAGTCTATCCATGCCAGTTACTGTGGTAACCTGCACTACTGGCACTGAGTTTGCTTCTGCAAGCTGAACTTCTCTGTACGAGATTCTGGTCACGCCAGTGATCACAGCAAATGTCCTGTGCTAACTCTGCAGTACAGTCACAGTAATAGCACTGAGGGATTCTTCTGTTCTTTGGAAGCCTACAGCTTTCCCTGCTGCTTACTTCTATATTCATCATCTACATTCATCATTCCCTGGAAAATCACCTATTTCTATCCTTGCCTGCCTGCACAAGTCTCATTCTGTGAGCGAGTTTACTTCCCAGTACACCATATGACTAAATCTCTATCCCTTATCATATAAATTGCTGTAATCTAAGGGTCCTGTTTGTATGAAGAAAGTTACTGTCTACAGTATGAAGATACAAAGAATAGTTACCAGTTGAATGGATAAGTAATAAAGGTTGAACTAGATGCCACTGGGACCACTGCCCCTGAGCAATTCCAGTTTTATCAAAGTGGTCTGAACATGTCCTGCAGAGGATTTACATAGAAAGCACTTTTTAGAGAGCACTTACAGTTTTCAAGTTAATTTTGGCCCTGAAGTATTTAAGTGTCCTCGACTCTTTTAGATTTATTTGATTTCAGTGCCTAATTTATCAGTGATAAGTAATATCCATTTAACAAAAACCCAGCCACAGTGTTGTAAATATATTTAGCATAATTGCTTGGCCCTTGATGAATAAATGTAAATGCCTAGCTATGTAATTCAGATATGTTACTTTCAGGCAGTGGAAATTCACTGCTGCACTTAGATACTTGAGAGAGGTGAGATGCTTTTTTGTTGAGTTTGGATTTTGGGGGAGGGTGTTGGTTTTTTGTTTCGGTTTTGGTGTTTTGGGTTGGTTTTGGTTTTTTTCCAGAACCACAATTGCAATTTTCTCCTTGTTTCTCTTCTTTTTAGCCCTGTGACTGCAGCCTTGTTGGAGCCCTGAGTACTCAGTGTGACTTAAATACAGGATGTTGCTTCTGCCGCCCTGAATTCTCTGGGGATAAATGCACTGAGTGCAGGTTGGGTTTCTGGAATTATCCACAATGTGTTGCTTGTCAGTGCTTCCTGGCAGGGACCAATCCACAGAGCTGTGATACAGAGCTGGGGAAGTGCTCATGCATTGATCATACTGGCCAGTGCAGCTGCAAGGTAGGACAATGAAGGTTGCAAGCTGATCTTAAACTGCTGAGAAGTTTATTCCAAAATTCACTGACATTTGTTCTTGCCTGTTCCAACAACACATGCAGACAAATCTCACTGGTTTTCATAGTGTATTTGCTAACTACTGTGGGAGGACTGTAACATAAAGAAAGACTTAAGTGCTTATCAGTTGCTTTTTCACACGCTAACAGTTGCCAGGCTCTTAGGCTCTCTTCTCACTTAGTATTTCTTCCTGTTCTTACAGAACTGTTGCAAATTTAGCCTCATTCAAAACAATTCTTGTTCAGATGTTTGTCAAATTAAAAGCAAACACCTTAGCAATAACAGTATGTCACAGTGCTACTTCTTTATACAACATTACTTGAAGGGAGTCAATAACAATCATTTTAAGAGTAGAATTCACTGCAAAAGTAAATGTTCTTCCGAGTAGACCAGATACAATTCAGGATCACTAAAGCAAAGACTTTTGGCATCATCACCTACAGCATTCTTATTGGAACTGTTCTTGAAAGAATGGCATACTTAGGTGGTTTGAAGATTGGCTGGATTGCTGGGCTTAAAGGGCAATAATTGATAATTTGACATGCAGTTGGTAGCTAGCAAGCAGAGTATCCCAGAGCCAATACCCTGGAGCCAATACCTTCATCAGTGACACAGATGGTGAAATTCACCATCAGCAACTTTGAGAAGATGGCTGATTTGACGGAGGTAGAGGTTGACATGCTGAACAATAGAACTACAGTCTAGAGGGTCCTTGAAAAGCTTGATGATTGGGAAAATAGAAAGGTCATGAATTGGAGTGGAATGACCTCAAGAATCAGTACAGTTTGGAAAGAAAAAGGCAGAGTGGAAATCCTGCTAAAAAGCGTGTATGGGAATGGCAAACTGAATATAGCCAATGTACTTTTATTGTAAATAAGGCAAACTGCCTATTGAGCTGAATGCATTGATCATACTGGCCAATGCAGCTGCAGAATACAGGACATTGTGAAGAACATGACCAGCAGAGGAAAGTCTTTATTCTCCTCTACTCAGTGCTGGTAAGACAGCACTTGGAAGTGGCATCCAGTTTTAGTACCTGATTGAAGAGTGTTGTTGAGAAACTGGAGAGGTTCCAGAGAAGGGCTACGAAGAGACTTAGAGCTCTTTGTAAGAGCTAAGTAGATTTGTAAGGATATACTTAGAGAGATTGGCTTTTTTAGTCTGCAAAAAAACAGACTATGAGAAAATGCAGTTGCAGCCTATAGCCGCTTCAAAGAGTAGTTGATAGAGTCAAGTCCCTGCTGATAGTAGCAAAAGATGTGACAAGGGACAATAGCTTCAAATGGCAGCTTGGGAATTTTGGGTTGGATATTAGGAAAAAAAAAAAAAATCACTAGGAGAGTTAGGCAGCACCGGAACAGATTATCCAGAAAGGTTGTGAAATCCCCATTCTTGGAAGTTTTCAAGAATTGGCTAGGAAGAGGCATGGGTATCCTGATCTAGTATTGGTGATAGTCCTGCTTCAAGGAGGAGGTTTTTAAAAGTGACCTCTGGAGATTCCTTCTTTGATTTTGATTCATTCTTCTTCTTTTAGGGACTGTATTGACACAAAAAGCCAGTAAAGCAGAAGGATGAATTGAAATTATTAAATTGCCAGGTAATTCTTTTGTTAAATAGGCACCAGTCACTTCATTTGGTATTTAAGGGATAGACTCAGTGGAGGAATTGTAGAACAAATTAGTTTGAAAGAGACCTGTGGAGGTCTGGCATATTGTTTGAAAGACATTGCTGAGGCCGTACTTCCAAGGATGGGCATTTCACAAGCTCTTTGTGTAAACTTCTTGACCACTCTCCCATTTTTCTGGTGTATTTGAACAGAAAACATCATTCTATTTTACAAATACTGATCCATTTAATGGTGAGATCATAAGTTAATCATAAGATTAACTGAGTTTATCACATACACTGAGTAAAACTCAGTGTTATGTGTCCCGAAATGGAAAAATAGAAGTATCTCAATTCTTTTAGCCCCTCCTGAAACATGATGTGCTCCAACCCCTTTAACCGTCTAAGTGCCCCTTTTCTGGCTTACATCCAGTATGACACTGTCTTTCTTGTAGCTCTTATAAGCACTAAGTAGGAAGAATTGGGTTTATGGCATATTTAAATAGATCTGTAGAAATGTTTCTTTGTTTAGAATTTTAAAACTAAAATAGTTACTTCTCTGTTTCTGTGACAGTATATATATAACAGTATATGTTTAGCTGACGATTAACCATAAGAAGCTGAAATTTACATGAAACAAAATGCAAAGCAAGTAAAATTCACAATTTATGACAGAAAATGGACGAGTAATACTGAATTAAGTCAGCAGATTTTTTCTTTGTCCAGAATTTAAACCTGAAGTCGAATTTAAATCTAGGGTTGTTAACTTTTTGTGTAACTTTCTTGAAAGACTTATATTTTGAGGAAGCTAGATTTTTATAAAATGGTAATAGTTCCCATTTAAGCCTGCTGTTACAGCTGCAGAAATGAGCTTTCAAAGGCTCAGGAGCCCCTTTGTCAGCTCTGACAAAAAGCAGCAAAATCTAAGCTAAATACAGTGTAGGCACAATTGCTGAGAGATTTACATGGTTACATGTGAAAATGAGGGTTAAAAAATGGTAAATCCATGGGGATTTATTGCTTTCCTGTATAACATCCAGAAAGTTGAATTTGTTTTTTAGATTGACTTCTTCACATTACTCTCAAGAAAAAAAAAAAAAAAAGAAGGGGGGAGGGGTGTTGAGGAAAAGCCAACCAGTGCTTTCATATTGGTGATTTCTTTTAAATACCTTGGTCTCAGTATGAAAATGGTTTTAAAAGGCTATGCATAAATTATTGTGTATCTGGCTCTATCTGGTATAGCTTTTTATTTGGACTAATTAAAAAATGAAAATAAAAGCATTGACATTACAACGCTGAAACATTTCAGCCTTGTTAATACTGTTCAATGATGTGGAAAACAATCACAAAGAGGGTAAAGCTTTTTTCTACAATATTTCCATTAAAATATGTTCCTCAGCAAGAACATTTAGTACTGTACCTCAGACATTCTAACTTGTCAAAGCTAATTCCTGTTGCACAAAAGGCTTGATTAACCCTGGCAATTTCAGAAGGACGTATTTTTTCTTATCTTATCAATCGGTTATTGAGCATGTCATGCCCAAAGTGCCACTTGATTTTACTGTGCTTAGAACTGTCAGTTTGAAGCTAGCATCCATTGCTCAGAGCGGTAGCTCTGAGTGGATTCAAATGGAAATGCCTCAATTACATTAATTGTGTATGTTTGCATACACACACGATAAGAAGCCAGAAAGCTCCTTGAATATTTTGTTATGCTTACTGTTACTTTTTTTCTGCACCCTGTCAGTACTGTATGGTTTTCTTATTACTACCTCAAAACAAAGCTTGTCTTCTTTTTTGTTTTATATGGTTTTTAATGCTCTCTCTTTTCCAGGTTAATGTGGAAGGTGTCCACTGTGACAGGTGCAAATCTGGTACATTTGGTCTCTCTGCCAGAAACCCTCTTGGTTGCAGCAATTGCTATTGCTTTGGCCTGACCACACAGTGCAGTGAGGCAAAGGGGCTGATCCGCATGTGGGTGAGTAGGAAACTGCTGAGCCATGTAATGCGATAATTTTGTTTCCTGCTGGCATCTTTTAGTCAGGCACTGAGAGGCAGCTAGAAAATGGCCAAACATTTAGGCAATCATTTTCCTCTATATACTTTGAGAAGTGGAGAGTGCAGTATGTTCCATTAGACAATCAGGGCAAAGGCATTAAAAGTAAATAAGTAGGTAAGAAAAACAGTGATAGGATAACTGACATCAAGCCAAAGTAAAGCTATTAAAAGCCAGGAAAGGGCAAGCTAGTCATGTGGGGAAATTATGCTTTCCAGTGCATTTTAATATAATCTCTGGTATATGACACGGTTTACCCAGGTGTATTCAAGGGTCACAGGAGCTTGCTGTCCAGCATAGATTTCTCATGGTTCAAGTAGTCTGTTAATTTTCACTGTTGTTGCTATCTTGTTTGGGGTTTTGTAGTTTGGGGGTTTTCATTTGGTTGGGTTTGTTTTGTTTTGTTTCTTCATAAATAAAAAAAAGAAAAAAGCTTATTGAAGCTCATATAAGTCCAAGAGTGGGAAAGTATAATCCATCAGAGCAAAGAAAGAGCTCTCCATCTTTTTGTAGAAGAGGACCTTCAGACCTATGCTGTACTGACAAATTAGGTAGAGTGGGTCTCTCTGTTTATCTGTAAAACAAGCACAAACCACACATTGAGACTACTGCTTACCGTTGCTGCTGTGCCAGCTCCTCAGTTACATTTTGGAGGAGCTATTTCTGATGGGAAACAGCTAGTTCAGCCCCCGCATATGGTCAGTCATATCACTGCTGGAAAGTATGTCGAGCATAGAGGGAACATCTTCAAATGCAAACCAGCCAAAGCCCCTGACTTGTCATGCACAAGCATCAGTTGGATAAGGATACTTTAGGCTGAAATCAAGGTGCACCTCTTTCCCTTCCCACTGGATGGAGGGATTTATCATGATCTGACACAGTTTTTCTCATTATTTCAGTTTTGTCCATCATATGCTGGTAGGCTGGAGATGAAAGGCTGTAAAAAACTGACAAGTTGTAAAATATAATCAAGTTCCATGACAGCAACAGTTCTGGAAAATTTTGCTTTGACCTATGTGGCAGCAAAAAGCAGAAACATAGTTTAAACCTCCTGATTATTTTGTGTCTCTTGATTAATATTTATGCTTATATCTAAACAAGTGTATGTCCATGTGTCATTTAGGTTTTGGTACTGTAATCTTTTTCAGAATTGATTCAGAGTTGCAAACTGAGGCAGGGTTCTGCCAGCTGCAGATGGCTATTTCAGATACTCTCAGGTGCATTAAATGGCATTAGACATGTTTAAGCCAGCAAACCCTCTCCTATGTGACCATAACGCAAGGCTGATCTGAAATTCAAATGCGTAGAGTACTTTCTTGATGTCTAAAGTAGTAAACAGTAGAATATAGTTATGATATGAACTCTCACTCAGGGATGGCAATATTAGGAATGCTTCCTAATCAGCCCATAGATGCTGCTGTAAATTGAAATACCAAATTTAAAGTACAGTGCAGGGCTCGGATGATTCCTCATAATTTGATCCCTATCTTGTGAACAGCCTGTTGATTGGATGACTGTTACAGATATGACTGCATTTGTTTTCTTCGTTTTCCTCAGTCTTTGAGAGAAAGCAATTTTGATACCAGCCGTTTGCATTTGTTCACACACTTCCTGTGATGTTTTCATCTTCACAGAATTACTAAGACTCTTATTACAGTTTTTGATCAAAATAATTATTTCTATATGAGAGTCTATTTCTATAGCAACTCTTTCAACAAGTCTAAGACAGTTATAAACATCTAAGTGGCATCCTTATATTTTTCATTAAATCTGAATTTAGAGAAACTCTGGGCCCTCACTCTCTGCATATTGTCTGAAGAACTCTTAGCCTGAATATTGAGTGAAAGTACCAAGGAGTTAGGCACTCTGTTCTTGAGCCCCAGTGATGTACAAGTGTTAGTGAGAAGTTTGCGTCTTCCTAAGGTACATTTCTTACAGTTTAAAGAGAAGAGGCCTGAGACTGAAACAGTGATATGAAAGTCACTTTAATAAAATTCATGGTATCAGTTGCTGATGAAACTATTTTAACCAGTGCTAGTACATTCTTTGTTAACATGAGGACAAGGTGCAAAGGGCTGGAGGGGGAAGTCATCATTATCACTATGTATACCTGAAGGAGCAGTAAGTCTGTTTTGTGACAAATTGCTCATGATGTGAAATAAAATTAACTAGAAATAATTATTTTTAAGAGTTCCAATTTAAAGAGTGACACTTCATGGGGAAAACTAGACTTGATTTTTTTTCTTGCTTTTTTTGAATATGCATAGGTGACCTTGAAACCAGAGCAAATGATTCTGCCACTGGTAGATGAAAAGCTTCAGCGCAGCACTCTTTCAGGAATTGCATTCCAGCCTCCTGAAATAGTAGCAAATATAGAAGCGGTGATGCGGGATTTACGGTCAGAACCTGTTTACTGGAGACTTCCAGAGCAGTTTGAGGGTCAAAAGGTAAACATAAAACTCCACTGAATAATTACATCTTTGGGGTTTTTTGAGTTTTTTTCATCTTCTATTTGTATTTTACAATGTTATTTTCCCTTCCAATAAACATATCATCACACAGTGGGAGGTACTTCAAAAGAAAAGAAATGCCACTCCATTATTTAAAATTGCGTGCTGCATTATAATGGAAATTCGTAAGTGTGTAACATAAACACTATTTTAAAACAAATATTTTTTATAGACAGTAACCTGTAATATTTTTTCACAGGATCTATCCTCTCATAAAAATGGTATTTGAAAAATTAAGCTGTATTAATTTCATATAACTCTCGTAGCTTTATCTTTCTGTCCATTTTAAATAAAAAAATGCCAGATCTTTGTAAGATGCACAGGAGAAAATGATTGAAATAACCCTCCTTTTGGATATTTTTGTATACTTCTGTGACAATTTATTTTGCACTTTTGGTGTTTCTTGGTTTGGCTTGGGAAAGTCTAGATGTTTCTTTCTCTAAACATAAACCTTGTAGAGCACTAAGGCACATATAAAGAAATGGATAACATTTTGGTTTTAGTGTAGTACAATAACATTTTGCTGATGGGTATTTTTGAACACAGCCCTTATCCCCATAGAGTTCCACAATCATGTACTGCTATTTTCTACCATATGCACATTCATCAGACTGCTCACAGGTGCAGAGTGTATCTAGCTCCTACATATGCCCTGGAATTTATTTTTAGCTAACTGAAAATGAGATTTCTTTTTGTACTTTGTTAGCTGACCACTTATGGAGGGAAACTGAAATACGCAATCTACTTTGAAGCACGAGAAGAGACAGGTTTTACTACTTACTACCCACAAGTCATCATAAGAGGTGGGCCTCCTACCAATACAAGGATCATTGTCCGACATATGGCTGCCCCTCTGATCGGGCAGCTGACAAGGCATGAGATAGAGATGACAGAGGTAATATTTCCATCTGCTTTTTTCCTCAGAACTTGTGCCTGGTTCTTTGTAATATTGCTGTTAATCTGGTTTTGTATTGCTGTCTTTCAGCATGAATGGGGATATTATGGTGATGACCAAAGAATCAGAAACACTCTGCCCTGGGAATATTATCATGATGACCCAGGTACCAACAGGACTGTGTCCCAGGCAGATTTCACCTGGAAATATTATGGAGATGAATCAAGACCAAGTAGACCTGTATCCCGGGAAGACTTCCTGAATGTGTTGTATGATGTTCATTACATTCTTATTAAGGCTACTCATGGCAATATCATGAGGCAGAGCAGGTAACTATTTCATGCAGTGGTCTGAAATAATGCAGTAGTCACAGATAACCTGATAGAGCTCTCAGCTATTCTGAGCAGTATTTTTATTCATAACATCAGCTATAAGCAGTTGCTGAGAAGGAGTTGGCATTCAGCATAGCGGAAGATGCAGGAGAGGGAAATTTTATTGACTAGAAAATTTAAATCACAATAGGCAAGTGAAGTCTTTATTTTCAGGATCCTAGAGTAGGAAACACATGTAAGAACATGTATCCTGTAACAAACCCGGAGTATTTTTTGTATGAATGTCTACTTTATGAAAACATGCTGCTATAATTAAATACAGATGTTAGCATATGAAGAAATTTTCTTTTGCAAGCGGGAAATGAGAGATGCTGGTCAGTAGCTCTGCAGAGAAGAACATGAGGGTCCTAGTGGACAAAAAGTTGTCTATGAGCCAGCCATGTGCCCCTGTGGGCAAGAAGGCCCACATGAACTGCATCAAGAAAAGCATTGCCAGCAAGTTGAGGGAGGTAATCCTCCCTCTTAGCCTCACCTGCAGTACTGTGTCCAGTACTGGGCTATCCAGTACAAGAGAGACATGTAGGTCCTGGAGCAAGTTCAGTGAAGGGCTGCTAGGATCATTAAGGGTCTGGAGCATCTTTCTTATGAGAAAGGGCCTGTTCAGCATAGAGAAGAGAAGAGAAGGGTCCGGGGTATCTGATCAGTGTATAGCAATATCTGAAGGGAGGGTGTCACAAGGATGGGGCCAATCTCTTCTTGGTGGTGTCAAGTGATGACATGTCAACAGGCTCTTCTTGGACACAGGAAGTTCCACCTGAACATGAGGAAGAACTTCTTTACTGTGAGGGTGACTAAGCATTGGAATAGGTTGCCCAGAGACGTTGTCTCCTTCCTGGAAATATTCAAGAGCCATCTGGACACAGTCCTGAGTAATGTGCTCTAGGTGACCCTGCTTGAGCAGGGAAGTTGGACTAAATGACCTCCATGGTCCCTTCCAACCTTAGCCTTTCTGTGATTCTGTAAAAAAGTCAAAAATGACACACTACTTAATCCAGTATATTAGGCACAGATACACTCATCATTTTCTATTCAGTTTATTCATTAATAAGTTAGACGTTGTAATAAAGATAATGCTTACTAAAATTGAATGGGATATCAGACAGCAAGATGAGAGAAATAATACAGAAAATCTGCTGCAATTTAAAGGTCAATTATAAGATTTTACATTTTGAAATAAGTAGTCAATTGAACAGACAAGGAACAATTACTTAGTTACCTATTCTTCAAAGACGGGTCTGTTGTTTACAACATATCACTACGTGAGCATGATTCAGTAATTACATTCTTGTTGAGAAATGCTAATATTCTAGCTGCATGTTTAAACAGATACAGCCTGCAAAGTTTAAAAAATTAATCTTTTCCTTCCACCCAACACTAGTGAAGTCAAAGCATCAAGTTCTGGATACTGGAATTCAAGAAAAAAGTATTAGTGTGTAAAGGATATCAGTGAACATTATCACAGGTTGGAAAACATGACCTGTAAAAGAAGATGCAGACAACCAGATTTATTTAGAAACTACAAATTGTTCATAAAATGTTGTCATAAAGATAAAGAAAAAAATCAGTTCTCTATTGCCCTGGTATAAGTCAAAAAAGAAATGAGCTTAAACTTCAGCAGGAAAAATTCACATTAGAAATGAGAAAAAATTCCTGGGGGTAAAATAGTTCTGGAACAGATTACATAGACTATTCCTAAACATTTTTAATACTGGATTTACAGTATCTTTTGCAAGCAAAATTTATTAGCAAGTACACAGTAATAATTGGAGATAAAATCCAAAGGTCTTCAGAGGTCCTTTTAATGAGTCTGTCATAAAAGTGATAGGCTAAATTATTTCTAGATTTTGAAGTTACAAATAGGTCTATAAGAACATGGCCTTTGGAGCTGGTGGGTGAATAGTAGGGGCAAATATTACGCAACTTTGCAGCCTTGTATGACAGAAATCATATTAATTGTTGCTGATATTGTCTCCATTTAAAGTGTATTATTTACAGAAAAGCATTCATCCAGCTTGCAGTGGCAAGATGCTAAATACTAACAACAGATGCCATAAATGTTTAACATTGGTTTCATTTATTTTTGACATTGTCCATTTAGGATATCGTATTACAAGCGCAGGGAATTCCCATGAAATGAGTTATGAAAGTAACTCTAACATGGAAAATTTGAGAAGCATATCTATATTTTGTTTGTGCTTCTCCCTTCTCTTCCCTTTATGCACTACAGATCCTAGTCCAGCTGTGGAAGCAAAAATCAGGTCTGCATCATAAGCAAAGTTATAAAAATAAACATCAATTTTCATGATTTTGTTCTGAGATGCAGTGTGACTGAACTACACCTGCATTGTAATACACCACCATTTTATCAAGGCTACCTCGTAATGAAACATAGAACAGAGGAAGACTTCAGTTTCACAGCAGGTTTGCAGCATGGCAGTTAAGGAACCAGATTAGGTTTTTACAGCATCGCATTTCAGAACGGATGTTCTGTATGACAGCAGGACTTAGCAGAATTCAACTGGTCTTTCTTGTAACTGTTGATCTGAAGTCATGACCTTGCATATAGTATCATGTTTGATTTTGGAGGTGGTTATGTTTCCGCAGATTTTTACGATCTGTCTAATTACACAGGTAACATTCCTCACATGACATCAAAAACTTTAAGTAGAAAATAAACATCAGGAATACATTATTATTTTTTTCAAGTTAGCACCTTGAATGATTTCAGAGGAACTTTTGCTTAAGACCACAAAATAAATCCCCCAAAATGTTTTTAAAGGTTAGTGGAATATTAGCTTGCGTAAGAATTGAAGGCTTTTATTAAAAATAGGCTGAGACCCTCTGAAAGACAATATTTATGCTCAACTTTAAACATAGGTTAGAGTTAAGTGACTTACAATAAAGCATTTGTTTAAATAGTGTCTCATGCTTTCTGAATATGGGCTCTGTTCTAAAGTACTAAAGCTTCTCTTTCTACCTGCTGAAAAGCATAAAGCAAAATAAACTGTGGATGGGAGGAGGAAAATATTATATATGAAGTATTTTAAAATATTTTAAAGTTTTTAATAGTGCTTTAACTTCGATTGCAGATTTTAAAAGCTGCGGGTAAGTGATAAAATACAGGAAAAGCATTTTAAAATGAAGTCAAAGCAATGGCAGCAGTTGGAAACAAAAATAGCCTAGTTCTACTGTTAGCACTGTTTTAGCTACATAGTTTAGCAGCAGTGCTAATGTTGTTTCTGCTTCAAAGCTGCAGCATTACTAGTGATTTAGAGGTTTCTGCTCAGAATCCAAAGCCAAGCATTTTTCTCCTATATTGTTCATTTTGTTGCCCTCATTTTCACATTTGCTGCTCTAAATTGAAACATTTCTTTTATTAGATTTTGTTTTGCTTTTTAGGCAACTGGGCTATGATAATAAATTAGTTTGAATTGGAAGTATGCTTTCAATTTGACTGTAAATTATTTCAATATCACTGACACTGATCAGGTAGCAGTTGTTTGACTGCTGTCTATTAGACATGTTCCAGGAATCAACCAAGCCTGACCTTCTTTAAGTAACATTTGCACACTAACAACAGGTAACTTTGTGGTCCCAGAGTATATTATTATGTAAATACAGCTTTCTGACTGCAAAGAGGTTTTTTGCAGCATACAGACCATTGCCTCAGCCTTGAAGATGATGGGGAGGCAGATTTCATTTTGTTTTTCCATTAAGTGTGCAGAGATTTCAATGTAAGTTTACATTGACAGATCTGAATGGTTTTGCTCTCTTCATTTTCAGTCTTCTGTTTTGACCTGGCTTTGTTTGCTTGGTTTTTTTTTGTTCAATTTCCCTGGTCCACTGAATCCCTTTGTTCAGGTAGTAAGAACGGGGTTTAATTTACTAGGTTATTTAGGGATTTTGCATTGACACAAGGTATCAAGAGGTATGGGTCTGCCCACCTAAGCTCAATCATAAAAGTCTCATCTAGTTCAGCAGTAGGTGTTTGTATTTCCTACAGTCATCCCGACACTGGTGCCCATATGCCAACGTGCAGAAAAGCCTCACTCAGCCACTCAGTTACGAGGTTTGGCAGTAGATAGACTATGAGCATGAGGAGGAGATGAGCAGTTCTGTGAGCTCCTCTGCATTATCGCTATTCGCAGACACTTAATGAATAGACTCTAGCAGCATTACGGACATTTATTCAACTAGTTAGTCACACGTTGTTTGACATTTTCTCTTACCTTGAACCTTTAAAATTTACGCTATTCTATCCTTCTTGTTTCTCAAAGACAGTAAAGGGTTCCAGATCATAGCATTCATTTAAACAAACTAACAAACCCCCAAAATAAAGAAGTAAGTTAAAAGAACCACATTGTGGTGTATTAGGATTAAGTGTATTTCATTAGATATTATGTTGAGTGTCTTTGTCCATGATACATTCAACCCTATTTGGCAGGTCAGCGTGCGTGCTGTGAAGACAAGGAGTGGTTGGGAGGCAAGAATATTAGTATTAATGTAATTGAATAAATGTTTGGACAGTTAAGATGTCAGAAACTCTACCATAAAACATATCCCTTTCTGATACTAGCAGATGCTTCTGTAGCGGTATTTCTTGTTTGCTTTAAACTGCTTATGTGTCTACATTATTCCTAAGGAAAAAAAAAGAAAGAAAAAAAAATACAACAAAACCCACACCCAAAAACATATATCTGACTACACACCTTAAAATTCCTGGTAAAAAGGCAAATGTCCAATGTCTTTGAAGTCTGCTCTAGAGCTTGTTAAGTTGCTTTAGTTGCTGAGGATAGATTTAATTTTATTTTTTTAAATAGTTGCCTCATTAAAAGCTCATTTAGTGAACAATTTTATTACCATACCTCTGAGAATCATAAACTGGAACTTCATTTAATACGTCACTTCAATTTCTTAATGAGTCCCTCCAAATGAAGAATCAGATACGAGTTTTTGTTAATAGTTTGGCTGAAAAGAAATTAAAATAAAAAAAAAGAGAGAATCAAACAGGAGAGAAAAGTTAATTATACTATTGCCTGGATATAGAAAATGAGACTGGAGGTAGTGGTATCTTTCTTGTTTCCTTAGGAGAGGGAAAAAAAGTGCTGTTTGTCAGGCATTGATCAAGAAGCCTACAAACAGCCAAGTAAGACTGTTTTTGTTTCCATGCCAGCTGATTGTGGACTAGCTGGGACTGAGCTAGTGCTTGATTAATCTTCATTTGAATTGCCTACTCTTTTTATTATTTTTTTTTTTCCCTCTCCAGGATTTCTGAGATCTCGATGGAAGTTGCTGAAGGAGGTGCTGTATCTGGGATGACTCCTCAGGCTTACTTGATTGAGAAATGTAACTGCCCGTTGGGTTATACTGGCTTATCTTGTGAGGTACAGTACTATCCTGACTTCTGGTCTTCTAGTACCTTCTTTGGTCCATTGATTAATAAGGTGTGATAAGAGTATCAATTCATTTAACTGGCAACAACTCTCTCTTAGTTTACTATTATTCTTTCTCTCTCAGGTATCTCTCTCACAAGGAATTTAAGCACTTTTGCACTTTTTTTTTTTTTTTTTTGCTTTAGGCAAATAAGCCACTAAAACCATGGCAATGACTCAAATACTTAGAATACATGAAAGTGAGCTTTACTCTCAGCATCTCTGAGGCTGAATTGTGTGGCTGATGCTGACTGATCAAGTCTTTTTGGACAGATAAGGGCATAATACTATTGTAATGATATTACAGATTGTAATTACAACAGATTGTGATATGTTCTTGTGTTATGGTGAGACCATAATACACAATACAGTTACAATATCTTATCTTCCAAAAGACTGAACAATGTGCATTAATTTGTCATTACTGCAATTCATAAAATCTGTAGAGAAAAATACAGGAAACCTCTGTGTCTTGAACTGTTGAAGTTTGGTAAATTTCTTGGTGTTGGTCAACAAAGTGAGCTTGGTGCTCCTTATACAGGCGTTATATTTATTTTTTTACTTATGTAAATATTTTCATGCTGAAGATTGAATGTCTCAAAATTACCCAGGTTTTATAGAGAATCAGCTGACTTGTATGCTTTTGTAAAATGGATCTTATGATAGGTACCAGGGAAACTGTTTAAGATGCAATACGTTGTCTGCAGAAGTTAATATTTTTGCCTTTCTATGCTCTTGATGGTGAGGCTGGCAGTCTTTCTGTGTGAAAAACACCATGTTTTCATTTTTAAGCAGCACTAGCAATTCCAAATGCCTTGGTAATTGCTAGGTGGGGGTAGCAGGGAACAACACCTTGAGTATTCTGCAAATCCTCCAGGCATTCTAAGTGTGATCTTGTAAAGGGTTCCCCCAACCTAGCAGTAGGAGAAAATTTGGAGTGAGTACGTGAAAGGGAAGATGCCCTGTTATCTGCGAGAACTCTGCTCCCTTCAGGTGTTATACAGGATTGCGTTACACAGCAAATGAAACACAAACTGTGAGTTCATAGGAAATCTGTGCAAGGAAGTGAATTAAGTAATTTTATTTGAACACTATTTCATGAAGAGCATACACCTGAATGTGAGAAATCTATGAACTCCAGCATTTGCTCAGAAGTACAGATTTTTACTTTTTTTTTAAATTACTATAACAAATTGCATTTTCGAAGGAAAATATATGATAATGTAATTTGAACTTTATTTTAATTCACACCCACCAGGGGCTGGAATAAATGTCTCAGTTGCAACCTTCATACTTCATGCCTAATTGTGTGTTCTTCACATGCTCATAACTTAGTTTATTTTTAGTGTGCTCAGTGAAGGTTATGTGCATTCTGTGAAGGTTTATTTAATTTTAGCAGGAGAAAAAAGCATCTGATACCCAGGCATTTTTTAAGCAAATGCTAGCAGGATATAGTGTATCTATTTCATGATTTATCCTGTAATTGCATTGTGATGACTATGTGCACAGCAGTTTTTACTAGGAGTGACATTTATATCCTTTTTCTTAATTCAGTAGCAGCCATAGAAAACAGTGATGGGAGTTTTACTAATGGCTACCTCTGAAAAACTTCCAAACTAGTAATGAAAAATGTAGTCTGCTTCATCTTTTGTCTGTGCTCTGTTTCATCTCAGAAATGCTTAGATCAAAATAGGTGAGAACAGTGTCAATAGCATATCAGAAAAAAACAGTCAGAGATCAGATTTGCTTGAGGATATACCACATATTCATACCCCATCCTAAAGTCCCTCAGAATTTGTAAAGCTGTTGTTTGTACCATGTTTGGACAAGGACTTTTGTTAGGATGGAGGGGGAGGGAAAAAGTAGGAAATTGTAGTAAGAAACAAGATTACTTTCATTTGAGATTGTTTATCTAAATTGGAATTCTTCATAAACCATGAAAAAGCAGAAAGACTGTGTCTGTGCTTCAGGGATCTTAATATAGTCTAAGTTAAAATAAAAGAGGAAAAGCAGAAGTGAGTTAGATTACTTTCTCTGTGATTCTAAAGAAAATAATTGTGTTTGTGTTTTAGACTCCTGGAGGTCTTGGCAATGATCATAAAACTGTCACAGTGGTGTTGTATGAGTAGAATCTAGCATGTCAGCTAGGGCTTGACAGAAGAATCCTGCTTTTGATCATGAAAAGTTACTTACTCCAGATTTTATTATATTTTGCATCCATGTTATTACTGGGTGAAAAACATACTATTCCCATTCTTTCCAAAAAGCAGCAGCTGTGGTCAACAGTAGGGAATGACCTCATCAGGCAGCCTTCATAGGCTCCTAACACCACTATGTGGTGGGACTTACATATAGGGCGAGTGACTTGTCTGTGTCCACTTACCCACATGGTTGGAACTATCAAAATGGTTCTGTTTGTATTTGTATGCTGCCATAGCTGTGTCTTTCTGGGAGCTATGTAAACACTTTCATAGATTTGCATAATAAGCCTGAAATACAGATCAGGTGCTTGATTTTGCATGTGTCAGCTTCGATAGTAATTTTTGGGTTGTTCTCAGAATTTTATTGCCAAGCTGGGGTAAGGGAGACTTACTGATAGATAAACTTTACTGGGGACTGATAGTCTCAAGATGTGAATTCTGTATTTTTATGTTATTTAAATTATATAGCTATAAATAATGTGACCTTGCAGCCATTCCCTTGATTATCATTCAGCTTTTGCTTGTTACCCATCAGGCAGTACGTAGGCAGATATTAGCTTGTCAAACCTGAAAAACTCACCAAAAGCAAAGGAAACAGAATCATTATGCTTGCTTTACACAGTCCATGCAAAAGATTTATCTCTAAAACAAACCTTATTCTTAAAGAAATGAAAGGAGTGATGCTTAGAACAGTGAGGTGTTCTGCATCTGAATGAAAGGTCTCTCAAACTGTAATCTGAAAAGCCTTGTGCCAGTGGAGTGCTCCAGGGATTTTTCAGCAATGTTTCCAATTAGGGCTGGCTCTTGTTATCTGTAAAGTACTGTATATTGTTTGTAACACAGCTGGAAGCCTGTCAGGCTCTTTTCACAACTTGTAAAAACTGGTGATTGGAAAGATGAGCTTGCAATGCTCTCCATACTCGGTCTGCTCTGTAATGATCTGTTTTCTCCTGCATCCTTTTTACTGCAGTCATGCTCTCCAGGATTTTATAGGCTTCCATCTCCACCTGCGGGAAGGACACCTGCTCAGCCCTTAGGCGCCTGTGTTGTGTGTCAATGTCATGGGCACAGTACTATGTGTGACTCTGAAACATCAATTTGTCAGGTATTGCATTCCTGAATTTATGGACTAGGTTTAACGTAATGTAAAATTCATAAGTTGTGTAACTGGTCTAGAAAAAAAAGAGGGCAATATTTTACTCCAATTTGCTTAATTTCTGAATTGTCAAACTTCGAGAAGGTTCATAAAAGCAAACCATCTACGTTTAAAGTTTTCCATTCTGAGATTTTAGAGTTCAGATTATGCAGTGCTTTTTTCCCTCAGGACTACTATTTGTGTAAAAATAAAGGCCAGGTACCTGCAAACGAAAGAGGCAGTGTACCAAGTATTGTGCAATAAACACAGCACTGCCCTTATAGGTAATAAGACACACGACCTGATAGAGTAAGATTGAATTGTAATTATTTCTCCTGCTTCAGCAGCTGGAACAAAGGAGGGAAGGAAGGGTGAATTAGATAAGAAATTCTGTAGGATACATCTGGCTAGCTACAGGCCTCCATTCTTTCTCCCTGTAAACCCATATATAAATCAGCAGTCATTTGATAGATGCTTAAAGGGAGCAGTCCCACTGTGAATCATACCAGGGAGAGGAATTACGAATTGAAGTAAATTTGAATCCCTGTGGCTGGGAACAAAATGTTATCTGCTGTCTTGTAATTAGCAAATACAACTTTAATTCTGTCTCCTTCCTCTGCAGAATTGTCAGCACAATACTGCTGGTCAGCACTGTGAGAGATGTGCATTGGGATTTTACGGCATTGTCCAAGGGTCTCCCGGTGACTGTAAGCCTTGTGCTTGCCCACTACGCAGTTCTACTAACAAGTAAGTAAGCAAACTCATGACACAAAATTACCTTTCCAGCATGCAAGAACTTTGTTTTGGGCTCACTGTATTCTTTTTTCAGATGGCTACAGGAGAAGTGCACCATGGAAGCCATACTAAAAAGCTTCATATCTACTTTTGCTAATTGATCTTCCTTTAAAAGTTGGAAATTGCTCCCTTGCTAATTTGTGATGAATAAATTAATAAGTGCTAGAAAATGCAATACTCAACAGATAATGAATGTTTGTTATAAAGGTATTCTCACAAATGAAGCTAGAGCAGAACTCAAGTACAATATAGCCACCAGGGAGCTGTAAAAAGTCTTGTGCTCATATATTATGTTGGTATAAATGCGTTACAGTGCCTTTCTTGCTCCACTGTGGAATTTATTGATTCCTTATTTAATGTTACATGAGTTTAAGGCAATTTGTGAAAGATAGAATAATTTAAAAGCAATATAGTTATTGCAGCGTAAATTTTATTGGTTGCTTTATGCTAATGAGCCTTGCCACAATGTCTCCGCACGTTCCCAACAGATAATACTTTAGCACTTGAGATTTGTTTGTTGTTTTGCTGAGAAGCTCTTAATGATATTTGGCATCATACTGTAGTATGTTCTGAAAAGGTTTGTGTTTCATGATTGTTCTCTTGAAAGGTTAGAAGTGTTCCTTAAGAACATTTTTCTGTACTTTGTCTGACCTTAAGGATGTTTTACTGAGTATTTCAGCTAGTTTTGGTTTGGGGGTTTTTGGGGTTGGTGTTGTTGTTTGTTTTTTTTTTTTCTTCTTTCTTCATTTTATCGTTCTGGTGTGGTATGAGGTTTGTTTTGAAGGAGAGAATCCCTTTCTCAGATATAAGTAGCTAAACACATCATGATCTTTCATCCACGGCGTGTTTTTAGGAAGACTTCCAAACCACATAAATACTACACTGAGAACAACAAAACAATTATAAAAGGGGCTTAAAGAAATACACTTTTTCTCAGAAAGTTATAACATGGTCTTAACCAAAAGTTTTTCTGAGTGTACCCTTTTCCATGAATGTTTTCTGTGATTACCTTATTGTGTGTTCTACCTGCTAGTATTAACAAAGGACATGCAAGTTGCAAAGAACAAGATTGACCAAGCTTATGAGTTTTGCACATCAAGCAGATACACTGGAAAAAACTTTTTCTGTTACTAACTGGCTGTAGGAAGTGCTGAAAATGTCATTTGATCGTATTTTTTGGGAGGGGCTTAAAAGGGGGAGGAGAGACTTAAAAACCTTTGGTTGTCTGAAAATGCAGGTGTCAGATCAGAAAGTGATCAGGACTCTTCACCTGGGTGGTCATGGCACCCTGCTACAAGAATGCAGATATATTCTCCACAATGTGCTCCAGAAATCACTTCAGTACCTTATCTAAAAGCTAACGTAAAACACAGGAAGTGCATGTCACTGAAGTGCTTCACAGTTGAGAAAGGTGTGGGCTCTAGGTAACACGTGTCCTGGGAGTGCATTCAAAATCCTGAGCTGCCTGAGAAAGGGAAGCAGACAAAGCGCCAGTGCCTCATGCAGCCACAAGGCTTGCATGCCTGCAGATGTTGTTAGGGCCGTTTGTGTCATGCTCACATAAAAGTGATCATGAGGATTTTTTTGTTCAAAACAATTTATAGAAGATAAGTGAATAACACCTAGTCTGAAATTAGTAAATACGCTTTATCCTAAGGTAGTTTTCCAGTTTCTTTGTGCTGTCAAGAGAGGAGTCAGATCTGAGCATGTTCAGAAACAGAATTGCTTGAGTTTTACAGAGCTTAACTCAGATGTCACTAGATGTCATGGAGGGGATTTCTACTTCTGTTAGCTCAAGTAATCAATACCTGTATAGTAAATTCAGGGACAGACAACTGTAGATGTTAAGACTGAAGGAAACCACCACTGGAGAGAGGGCAGGGGAAGAAATATTTCAAATATATGTCAAATTATGCCTGTCTGTGCATCTTCATTTTCCACTACTGATAGAGGATGCTTGAATTTAGCACTTAGACTACATGCCTTTTAGATGGATAGGCCTAGGTGGGATAGATCCATTACATAAAGCTAAAGAATTAGGTGGAAAACAATCGCACCTTGGATTTGTGTGTTGTGCAGCTTAGTGAAAGCTCTTCAAGATACTATTAAGGAAAAAAGATCTAATTACTTACAGCTATTTTATGGTAGTCAAATAACCATAATCTGCATAAAATGCAGACAGGTAATGAGCTATCTCATTAGCTTATTATGTCATGACTGACATGCTGATATTTGTGAATGGCAATTTTACAGAATCATGGGATGGTTTGGCTTAGAAAGGACCTTCAGGTCATCTAGTTCCAACCCCCGTGCCATGGGCTGGGATGCCTCACACTAGACCGTGTCACCCAAGGCCCTGTCCAACCTGGCCTTGGACATTGCCAGGGATGGAGCATTTACCACTTCTTTGGGCAACCTGTTCCTGTGCCTTACCACTCTCACAGTAAAGAACTTCTTCCTTATATCTAACCTGAACTTCCCCTGTTTAAGTTTGAACTAATTACCCTTTGTCCTATCGCTACAGTCCCTGATGAAGAGTCCCTCTCTGTAGGCTAGTAGTTGTTATTTATTAAATTTTGCGAAACTCCACTAAGGTTTTAGATACTGTCTTTATACTCCTGCACAATCAGCTTCAAACATGATGAGTTTAAAAAAAATAAAAATAAAATGCTTTTCCTAAGGGTGTGGATCTATTTTTATAGAGTTGAAAATGTGTTAGATAATGAGTTCATGAGTAACAGATCAATTTGTTTACATTTTTTTGCAAAGGTGTAATTTTATATACTCGTTTGAGCACTTGATTTAATGCTTTATAAGCAAGTTAGAGTAAGATGCTGATTGTAGTGTACCAAGAAGGATATCTGGGCTCACCATTAACCACCTCTCTGCTTTTCTGGTTCTTCTTCCACGAAGAGTTGAAAGTTTTTACAGTATTACACTATTTACTTGTGTTTCTTTTCCTCTACCTACCCTTTTTGTTTGTTTTAACTGTCTGTGCAGGCACTTACTATACTAATATTCCAGCAACATGCTACTTTGCACAGTTCCCATAGGTACAAACTGCAGTCACAAGTTATCCATCTATGTCATGACGTAGTAAAAATAATCTAATCTCTTCTATGACTCCATTCCCTCTGATATGGCCCTGCTAGAATTTGTCTGAGGTGTGCCAGTACCATAGCAAGGCATTCACAAAATTCTTAATAGAAAGAAGGGATCTCCCACAGATGTTTCTATTCAGATAAAATACTGTCATTTACACTGAGCGGAGTTCACCATGGGGCCTTCTGCACAGCTGAGTGAAATGATGCAATAGAGTGGAAACAGTTTTTTATTTGCCTTTGTTTTAGTTTTAGCCCTTCTTGTGTTGCGGAAGGACCTAGTGATTACCGGTGTACTGCATGCCCACCTGGATATGAAGGCCAGTATTGTGAAAGGTAGGGTGAATGGAAAAAAAGAGGGACAATGAAAAGCAGGGAAGACATGGAGAACAATGTCCTTCAATACTATAAACATGTGTTTACTGATGTTTAATTACATGCCTTCGGATAAGTTACTTCCTCTTTATATGTTGTTAAAACTCAGCCATAATAGGCAATTGTACACCCACTGTAAATTGATAATCAGTGTTAATTATATCATAGATATTGTACTAGTCTTTCTGATTTGTAGGTTTGGGGTTTTTGGTTTTTTAGCCCTTGGCCCTGAGAAGTTAAATTGAAAAATATAAAATTCAACTAAAATTAGGTCCTGTGTTTATAATGTGTCTTGATGTCACTCATACTCTTTGTTGTAGTGACTATTGTGTCCTCATGAGCACTGACTGTGAAAGGCACTTACATATAAGCATATTAATGATGAAATTCTAAATTAATAATTTAAACAGCAGTTGTCCCATCCATAGCAACACTCTGGGATTAAAGCTGATCAAAATTAGCAAGTGTCTACTATGTGATTTCACTTCTAATGCATAACAGAAGTGTCCAAAAGCGGGAAAATAAGGGTCTATAGACCAAATATTGCTAATGTAGAAACTTTTCTGTCAGGGTATAATACCAGTTTAATTGAAAACTGTTAGGGGTATAGAATCACTTTTGCATACTTCTTCCATCCAGACTGTTCCATGTCCTGGTTAAAAGCTATTATCACTTTGTTGGACAATTTGTAATATTTCTCCCTCTACGAATGCATAGTGAGTCATGAACGTTTTTTTAACGGTTCGTGAATGAATGTTCGTATGCATTTTGTTTCCAATCTTGCCAATTATTCATTGTCATACACTGTGCTGCTCAGTTGGCCAAACCTGGTTTTGTATTTGCAATGTCTAGATGTTCCCCTGGCTACATGGGAAATCCACAAACTCCAGGAGGCTCCTGCCAGGAATGTGAGTGTGATCGATATGGTTCCCTGCCTGTCCCCTGTGATCCTGTCACTGGACAGTGCACTTGCAAGCCTGGATTCACAGGGTGGAAGTGTGCTGGCTGTGAACATCGGCATGCGCGTGATGGCATGAAATGCATTTGTACGTATACTGATATCATTTTGGATACTTTTTGATTGTGTTTGTCATACTTGAGAAATTCAACCCTGCATATGCATCAGTCAGTTCTGTGAGTTTCTTTGAAAATATTTCTGCCAGGTTTCTTACTACTTCAGCGTTCTGGTCCTTCCCCCCC